GCATTATGCTGGTGTAGAGGTTGGGGATAATCCTTCTTTTTGAAAAAAAATATATATCCAAATACTCTCTCTATAAACTAATATAAAAGCATTTAGATCACTAAACGGAGGCAGTACTGTATATCTGTTTATTGATCACTAGTAGACATGCACGTGTGTTGCACGTGTCAACCAATGCACATGAAATTGAAGTGATGATTCATATGCTAGAAAATTCAAAAAAGGAAGAAAGAACGACCATGGAGAAACTATCAAACAATAATATTCAATTTTAAAGCACACCACCAACTCAAATTGCTTCTTCAAGTTTTGAAGCGAAAGCAAATGTATATAAACCATTTTTCTCACAAATAGTGCAAAGAAATATGGCGAAGTATCAGGTGAAAATGACTATTCGGTGAAAATCTGAAAATTTCTATCGTGGACTGTTGGATCAGGAGTGGACGTCATGGATCACAGGTGGGAGTCCTAACAATCCACTTAAACGCACATTAGCAGATAACCCCCCTCTCTATTAATCATGAGGTGCATAGGGCTCGACCCTTCGTGAGATCCTGAGATCGGATTCTTCAATCGTCTTGAGCGCCGCCGATGATGCACTTTCCACCGGCACGTAACCACTGCCCTCAGCTGGCCGCGACTGTCCCTCCGATCGTCGGGATGGGCCTTCCGTCCACCGCAACTCTCCCTCTGCCAACCGCGCCTCTCGCCATGGCTGCCCTTCCATCGACAATGATCGATGGGGCCTTCGTCGGCTGCGTGTCGCCCTCCATTGGACTTGGCTCACCCTCTTCTAGCCGGGACTCACCCTTCGGAGTACTTGTCAACGCTGCCCCTCACAATTTTGAACCCTGACGTGCCGCTGCCTCTTCATAGTCATATACAAGTAATCCAGTACATCAAACAGACAAGCATTGTAATTCACTAGATGCTTTTTTGTGTCGTCAATTCACTAGATGCTTACCTAGAATGACTAGTAGGATACACTGATAAGACAGTGTTTTTGTACGCAAATTGGTTGTCACTATCTTCAGCATCATGAGAAAGCTTTGGCTGCTACAAAAGACAGACATTATTTTCATCGTTTTTGTCAAGCATAGGAATTCTTTTTTAGAAAAAAAATCACAAGCTACGCAATAGAAAGCTATAGGTCAACCAGTGTACAGAGCATGTATATTTACTATACGGAACATGGATATTTGGTGATTGTTGTTGTTCCTCGATTGATAAGAACTAATCATGCGATGTTGCATTATAGATGGAGCATGAACCTGAGCATGTCGACAATGGAGGGACCCATGATATGGAAATTCTGCCTCCTCCAATCAATTTGGAAAACTTTGGTACATGAAAAAAGAGAGCTACAAGTGGCCTATTTTATGTGAGTACCATTATCACGATAATTCCACTCAAATATCTCTAATAATATTGACTTATATGACTACTGGGTGTTTGTAGGTATGGCATTCGAGACTATGGAAGATGTCGAGAAATTTTACAAGGCATATGCACACAATGTTGGGTTTTCAATCAGAATTGAACAAAAAAGGGTTGTAGAAAATGTGGTGGTCTGAGGCGATTTCTTTGTGGCAAAGTTGGTTTCCGAACAAATGAGGAGGAACACAAAAAGGACTTGAAGGGAGAGAAGCAAAGAAAACATGCAAGAAAGTTAACTAGATGTGCTTGTGAGGCCATGCATGATAACTGTCAAGCATATGCAAGATGGCAAATATTGTCTTTGGATACTTTCTTTTGTTTACCTTTAGAGAAATTCAATTTTTCCTTCTAGCGAGACACAAATAGTTATTTATCTTGTGAAAGATTTGTAAGTTTTCACTGGTTTATGCACAATGTCTGCTCTGAATTGTATCTTTTGTACTATGATCAATATTTTGTCTTGTTGTTGTTAAGATTGAGCACACAAGAATATCCTCGGATTTTGGTTCATCTCAGTATGTACTTGGGATTTTGGTTCATATCCAATGCGTATGTTGGTGCAGAACAACAACTTCATGTGTCGGATAAATTTTAAGAATGAATATTATAGTTCTTCTGGGAGCTGTACTGCTGTTATTTCTACTCCCTCCGTTCCAAAATAGATGACCCAACTTTGTATTAACTTTTAATACAAAGTTGGGTCATCTATTTTGGAACGGAGGGAGTAGATGTGAATATCATAGTTCTTCTGAGAGATGTCTAGTTAGTCTTCTGAGAGGAATAACTTGAAGTTGTTGCCAATTTTGTAGCTTGGGCATGCCTTGAATAACGTCTTTGTTAAAGGAAGCTCGTTCCACAACTAGCACAACAATACTAGCTGCTAGTAGGTCCTTTGCAGACTGAAATTCACCCGAACAAATCTTTCAATTATTATAGATTGAATGACTAAGAACCTGACCTTTTTTCTTCCCGTTTCAATTATCTTCAACTGAATTCATATTAAGGGCCAGTATGAATGGATTGCCCAAGATAACTCACATTGAGTGACTAGAAAAGGGCTCAGAAAAGATACTGCTGGAACAGAACTTCGCTTTTCTGTTTTGTCAATCACTGATTTAAAATAGCCCAGCTCAGGAAATTTATTCAACTAAATTCATACATCCAAAGATTACAGATTGCATGCCAATGCAACTTCAGAATTTGGACTACATAAGCAAGCTTACAGGCTTCACCAAAAAATACAACATTCAGATACAACTTCTGAATTAATACTAAGAAGCAAGCATTGGGCTGTAGAATCAAACAACAGGAGCAAGCCACTGCATAATAAGTTTTGGGTCTATGTCACTGCCGCTTGAGGGCATCACGACGGCCATCAAGCCACCGTTGTGCGGGAAGCCTCGCGGCGACCGAGTCGCCGTAGCATGAGGGGCAGCTGCGCGGCCGTAGCATCACCCGAGGCGTCGAGCACCGTCGTGTGCGGGCGGAGCTCCGGCCGCTGAGTCACATGTGTGTGAGGCAGCGCCCTGACCACCAGTCGCCGTCGCCCGAAGCGTCGACGCACCGTCGCAGATGCGGGAGGGGTAGCCACCCGGCCATTGAGCCACCCTCGCCTGGAGAGAGCGCCGCGTCGTCGAGTCGCCATGGTGCGGCTAGGTTATGGAGGCGGTCAATTTTCTCATACGGGGTAACTAAATCCTGGAGTAGTTGAATAGAGAGAGGGGTTTATTTGCTAATGTGCGTTTAAGTGGATTGTTAGGAATCCCACCTGTAATCCATGACGCCCCCTCCTGATCCAACAGTCCACGATAGAAATTTTTAGATTTTCACCGAATAGTCATTTTCACCTGATACTTCGCCAAGAAGTATATCATAAAAAGTGTTGTAAGGGGCATACAATTTTTTTAATCATGAAAGGAACTGACAATAAATCAAAATATGTGACGATGTTTTGCACAACCCTACTCTCATTTTAAGCTTGTGGAGCTACAACAGATGTCAGTTAAAAGCATTTTTCGGAAGTTCCAACTCCCGTTTCTCTGGCCCCATGAATACTTGCGCCAACCTTCGGCCAAGTCATGCAGCCTGCACCATTGACTATCTATCCTCCTCGGTCTTCTCCAATACCAAGGGTAGCTATCATCACCACAAAAAGATCCCCCCAAAAATGAATATCTGGGTGGTGTAAAATGAAAATTGAGGTATTAGGCATCACTAGCAGGTCATTACAGAGTGTAGTGTGAGTTTAGATAGGTATACGTTTATATTTGTTGGTGAAGAAAATTCGTAATGGAGGAATTTTTTAACCCAATAAGTAACCTATATAAAAAACTGAGGATCGCTCTACTTCTTCAGTTTGCATGTTCTCTCTAAAATACAGTCGAAACAGAACTCTAAAAAGTTCAGTAATGTTAAAAATGACATGACCAGGAGTGGCATCTAAGAGAATCAAGATACCTACACACATTTTTTCTGTATTTCCTAATTAATAATAAATCACACTGCCTATTGAAAACAACTGAATTCAATATATTTTTTCTCTGTCCAACCACATTAGCAACTTGACATGAGCATTCTATCAAAACTATTAAATTGAATACATATTTTATAACTGCTGAAAATAAGGTATAGCAATATATTTCTGTATTCCTTGAAAATAAGGTGTAGCAACATACTTTTGTATTGCGTAATGAAAAAAATCGCATAGCTTGTTGATTCAAATATATCACATACATCATGTTTCTATGAAATGCTAATCAATTCATACTAAAAGAATAAAGTAGGCAAGCATGTGTCTACTCACCTCGATATCAGTTTCATCCCGATGTAGTTAAGCATCAGCCTCCCAGCACCTCCCAGTTTAGTATTGGGCACCTCAAGAAAGTTGCAGTTTGCTTCCAAAGTAATATCATGCACTCAACTGAAAGGAAGATTCTGGTCGTTCAAATATTGAGATTTCAAGGCCTGAACTGAAGATAACTGTCAACTACACCAGACCTGGCCACTGCCGCTACGTCCCCGATCCATCGCCCTCCATCCAGGTTGATCCATGCATAGGAGACAACACCACTTAACGGTACAGTTTTCTGTGTGTTTTCACTTCGAACTGAATGACTGACAGTCAAAGTTACAACAGAGGTACATTTTCAATATGAAAAGACGTGTGCTTTTTGAAGATTTGAGTCTTACAAACCGCACACAAATCATGGAAAAATTATAGTGTGATAGGATACAACAACCATACATATTTTAAGGAAGTTCACGGTCATACTGTGAATAGGCTACCTTGCTAGTTGCAATACCCTCTTCCTTATCTTATTTATACTATTACGTAGCAAAACTATGTATTCCTCCTTTCTAGCATAATCAAATTAAATAAAAAAGAGAAAGCTTCACTTAATATATTGAAAATGAAAATGATGGATAGGTCCCATGTAGCGAAGGAGGTGAACATACCAAAACAAAACGTACCCTTTAATAGTAAAGATTTGAAGTAAATTCATCAAGGTACCGCCCAAAGTTCGTCAATGAGAATTATATAGTAATCATTGAGACAAAAGAATTTATCGATATGAAATTATGACACAAAGTATGGGATCAAACTGGAGCTCCTCTTTCCTTCCTCTAGTGCATCTACCCCCTAATTGTTTTTCATTTCTGGTGGCATTTCCAAATGGTTTGGCAGTGCTGAATTTTTCATTGAAGTTTTCATACTGTTTCTCATCCAAGACATGATGGGTGTATGAATTTCTCATATGTGTTACTTCTATGTGTCTTTTAGTATCTTCCTCATTTTTATTTTCTTCTACCTGTGTGCAAATTAACAAGAAAAATTAGAAGGCATGACAGTACACAAGTTTGATAGTTTTTTGTGAAAAGATACAAAAAATAAGAATAGGTGGAGTACTTATGTATCAACACCATTGCTAATACAGTAATATCATTCCCTCTGGTTCCTTCACTATCACATCCGTCCATTTTCATGACCTGCTGAATTCCAACACATTTAGGAGCAGTGGCGGAGGACGGAGGAAAATCAAGGTGGGGCTGACTCTAAACTGGGGCTGACTCTAAACTCCAGAGCACAAATGTTTGATGCAAAGCAAAAACAAAGTATTTGACACCTTGACCAGTACTATCAATAGACCACTACTATGAATGATCTTCAGTTGACAGAAATTCAGATCGCTATAAATTCAGAAAAAACGAATTAACAACTATGGTGACCCCTGCCCTTTTGCGTTTGCTGACCCCTGCCTCTCCCCTTCATGTCCAACTTCTGGATAGCAGCTAGGCTAATGCCAAACTTAGCCACCGCCCGGACTTCGGTGACGCTGTGAAGCTGTTGTCGTCCTGCTCTGCCAGAGGCTGCTGTCCTTCCCGCAGAAGACGGGAGTTTCTCAGGCAAAGTATGTGAAGCTCAGATTCACATGCTCAAAACCAATCTCTCAAACATGAACTATAATAATATGGTGCATGAAACCAAGAATGCATACACTTCTGGGTTCTGAGGATTTTATCAGGATAGTATACACACTTCAAACATAAATACTTATTATAATGTGGCATTATCTCCCAGCTCATCAATTTCGAATGAGAAAAATAACCCACTGTCACATAGGATATCTAATTTTGTTAGCAGACATGAAGTAATTTGATCCACATATACTCTATGTTGCAGAAGAAAGCGAGTCAAGAAGCACATGTGAGGGATGCGATACTTACATCACATGTAAGGCAGGGAGCACGTGTGAGGGGTGAAATACTTCCACTTCTTGGCACAGAGTGCTGGTCGTTTGCAGCAGATTTAGACGAAGTACTCAGCGATCTTCCCCGTAGAACGGCCAGCAGGGAGGAGACCAGTGCAGATCTCAAACCGGCAGGGAGCAGACCGCCGCGCCGCGGTCTCGTTCGCCGGCGGCCACCCTGCATGCACCCACTTCGTGCTTAGGGAGCATACCGGTGCGATCGGAAAAGCGAGGGATGCAGGCGCCATAGCGCCACGGGATCGCTCGCCGGCGGCCGCCCTACATGCACCCACTTCGTGCTTAGGCAGCAGACCGGTGTGATCGGAGAGGCGAGGGATGCAGGCGCCGCAGCGCCATGGGATCGCTCGCGGCCTCATTCGCCGGCAGACGCCCTGCGTGCGCCCGCTTTGCGGTGAGGGAAGAGACCGGTGCGGCCCGAGAGGCGAGGGGGAGCGGGCGCCGCCGCGCTGTGGGAGACTTGTGCGGCTGGAGAGGTTAGCGCTAATTTCGGGATTAGATTAGATGGAGGTTAGCGCTAATTTTGGCAACATGGGTGAGGTGGACCTTTCGTTCGCTTCTGGCAGAGTTTTCGTCCGCGCTAAGAAATTGCTAAACGCACCTTCGGCTGAGGTTAGTTTTATCTTTACGGTCAGATTTAATTAAGTGATCTTTATAGTGAGGCTGTTATTGATTCATGTTGTTCGATGAATATATTTTCTTGTTTAATAGTAGAGAAGTAGAGATAGTAGTAAAGAAGAGCGTACGTCCTTTCATTTTGGTTCGATGGTTCAGATCATCGCGCTTGTCGAAGCGCGTTTTTCAGAATTCAGATCCAGCAAAGTCCGATCCACCTGCGGTGCGCAAGGAAAGCAAGCAAAACCGGTGTGACACCAATTGATTTCCCCTTACCACGAACGCCCACTCCTCATGGCTATCACCGTTGGTGGTTGATGATCATGTCACCAATGATACATCAGTCGACATTGGCAGATGATAAGCCCAGCTTGCCAGTGACGTGTCATTGCTAATCTTCATATATGGCACCCTTCGACCCTAGCTTTTGCTCGCTCGTGGTGTGTTGTCCATTCACAATGCCTATTTGGGAAAAGCCATCTTTATCACTTTGCCTCCACAAAAAATGGAGGATAAACGACTTTAGACGGTGGTAGCTTGTAGGCATAGATTTTTCTATGAGAGCCACGGGAAGGAATATTACGGAAGTGATGTGCACCACTGCTCTATCTCACATTGTTCACATGGGTTTGTTTGCAATGGGAGAAGGCATTGCCATCACTAGTGATTGCGATGTGTTTAATACATGAAAAAAGAGATGGGCACATCAATGGGATAGCTAGGGGGATGTAACGCTGGATAAGATGTTTTTTTCCTATTGAATCATAGCGAGGAAGGTCGTCGGAGCCATCAAATCTCGAACTCAATGATCCCCAAATCAACCACGATGGAGTACACAATATTCTACGTCGATCACACCATTGGACGAGATGTCTAAGAGCTCTTCTTGGGCCATTTCTATCCATCTAGTCTAACATTTTTCCACCTACAAATTCTTGGTCAAGTTTTTTTCCACATAAGATGAACACTTTTTTTAGGGGACATTTTTCTTAATTTGCTCAGATGCTACTGACAGTAGATGGTCCACATTAATTTGTATATCTAGACAATTTCCATTCTTTTAGGTAAATCCTGAGCCTTTGCAATGGCGTAGAAAACAACATATGCATTACTGTGGTGGACACAACCATTTTTTATTAATTACTCCATCCGTTTCATAATGTAATGCATATAGATTTTCTGAAAAGTCAAACCTCACAAACTGTGATCAAATTTGTAGAGCAAATATTTTACATCTAGAGTGCCAAACACATATCACTAGATTCATCATAAGATGTAGTTTCATATTTTATATATTTGATATTGTACATATAAATAATTTTCTCTATAAACTCGGCCAAAATTTGTAAAGTTTGACTTTCAAAAAAATTATACGCACTACATTATGAAACGGAGGGTGTAGTAAGCAAACTACAAAAAAGTGTAACTACGACTAAACCATTACAAGACATGAAATAAATTACTCGACTTATTTTTTTACAGCAATGCTTTCAAGAAGGAATAGTCATCCTTGCACCGCCGTCCCCACGTCCGGCCAAAGACGGTCAAAATAAGGATTTTCACCCTGATTGTGGTAACCAACCATCAAAGGCACATCAGCCTGTCCACCAGGCTAGGCTAGAAAGGCACTAGCAAAAAGGTAAG